CTATGTCACCCTCAGTAGAGTGCCCTGGCATCACAGCTCACAGCAACCTCAAATTCTTGGGCTTAAGCGATTCTCTTGCCTCAGCCTCCCAAGTAGCCACAATGCCCGGCTATTTCTTTTGTTGCAGTTGTTATTGTTGCTTTAGCTGGCCTGGGCCGGGTTTGAACCCTCCAGCCTCAGTGTATGTGGCTACACTCTACCCACTGAGCTACAGGCCATGCCGAGAAAGGGGAGTATTAAACACCTTTGGTTATTGTTAGAGGGCATCAGATGGCAATAAACAAGTACAGAATTGGAATTCTGAAAACAATTAAGGTACCATTTAATAAGTTCCCTCTCACAGCCTGGCTTGGAAAAATGATGAGTGACTTTGAGAGACACAATTCCTTATGCAGATTCAGAATACTACACGATACATTTGTATCCATAGAAATCACCAGGTCCTGGAGTAGGGCAGTACTTTCTCAGCTTTCCAAAGACTCTTTGACAGTGTATTGGTTCATGTTTACAGATAACCTACTCAGGGTGGTTAACTGAAATGCTCCGAACAGATAAACAGGACTAACGAGATAACATGCCAAGCCCATAACTATCCAGTCTGGGCATTTTATTTATAAGTTTAAAATGTTTTAAATGTAGTGAAGTGTGTTGTGCATGTGTGAGAGACAGAGAGACGCAAAGTAATTGTGTCACCAAGGCAAGAGAATAAAAAGCATCTAAACTCCACTGTTAGAAGGGAAGCTATAGGTTAACGGGGGCTGTCATAACTTCCTTCTAACCCATCAGGAACACATTATTTAAGATACTAAAGTGTTAAATTGGTCAGATAAGAGATGTGCTAACATGTAAGATCCTCTGAACAATGAGAAAAGAAAATTGAAGTGAAAATTGTAACCTCCACCTGTAGGAGACTTAAGTGAGATAAAGTGAAAATGTTTACAGTGGAAGAAGAGAGAGAAAATGTGAAGAGGATTATGTTCGATAATAAAGATAAAACTGGATGCAGGGAGAGGTGGCTCACGTCTGTAATCTTAGCCTCCCAGTGGGAGGACGGATCACTTGAGCCCAGGAGTTTGAGGTTGCAGTGAGTGCTGTTGACACCACTACACCCTAGCACCAGTGACACATCCACAGCATCACAGGGAGATCCTGACTCAAAAAAACAAAACCAAAGGAAACTGGAGACACATGGAAGAAAAACATGACTGGGCAAGGGTTGGGAGAGCTACAGTCTTAAAGCTCCACAGGGACCTGAGCCTGGAGGTCATGGAGAACTTATCAGAATCAGCAGTGACTCTGCTGTATGCTAAGGGGACAAGTGGTGTGAAGACAGCAGCAGTAGATGTTTTTCAGGAAGAATGGTGGAATGATAGTCACAGGAGAACTTTGTGACCTGCAGGCAAGAGCTGTGTTTCATTAATGGCTGGAGAAGAATGCTTACAGATAGATTTAGGGGAAACACAGAGACCTGTCCAAAACTGGAGGTCTGGTGGGGAGGGGGGGAGAGGAGATGCTTAATGTGTTTTTATAGAAAGAAGCACCTGTGAGGAAGGTACTCAAGACTGTTCACGGGGAAAACTACAACCAAGCATGGGAAATCATCCCGACCATGTGGTTAAAGGGGGCCAGACCTGGAGCTAGGGTGGTTGACTGTGGATCCTCCGTATGCACATTGCCAGCTGTGCACCCTGGACAATCAACTCCCAACCTCTCTGGCCTTCATTTTCCTCATCTGTGAAGTGAGACTACCAGTACCATCTGACAGCGTTGTTAGAATTGACTGAGTTAATATAAGAAAAAGATCTTAGGGTATTGCCTGGTACATATGAAACACCAGTAAATATTAGCAACTCCTGTGACCCAAAACGGCCCCTGTGAATGAACCTGAGCTCCGTAGAGTGTCTTTCTCATCCTTCCAGACTCTGCACAAGCTGGCTTGTGAGGGCTGTGTTATACAGTCAGCACATCGAGATTACAGCTGTCCCCCTTAAAGGAAGCTTGTAGGGTGGCTAAACATGGGTTAAGCTGAGGACATCGGTCATGTTCTTTGAGGTTTATAGCTGCTTTGGGTGAGTCTCCCCCTTGAACCTCAGTTTTTTATCTATAAAATGGGGGTATCACATATACAGTGTATAAGGTTTCTGTGAGATCAACCGTGAAAGTACCTAGAAAAATGCCTGGAACACAGTAATTTTCAATAAACGTTTGCTGAGTGTGAATCTGCCTGGTGATGGTGATGGAGACACACAAATCTGAAGTGCGTTCCTCTGGGGGAAGGAGATCCTAGCTGGTCTCAGGGCTGCTGGTGGAGAGGCCTGGGGTGCAGCTGTTGTCAGACACAAAGAAACTGAGATTTATCTCTCCCAGGTGTGAACAGAAAAACAAAATGACAGCCAGGGTCTCTAAAATGGATTGGTTGTGATGAGAGTAGGTTTTTTTTTTTTCTCCCTCTCTTCCCTATGGTTTTTCTTCTTTGCAGGAAGGACCTTAACAGCCTGGAGGAAAGAAGTGAAAGGGCACAGGTAGCAGGACATTATGGCTGCTGGTGCTACTGTCAGAGGAAACTGCACTCTCCCCCTGCCCAGGACACAAGCTGGCTTGCAGGGCATCGTGCCATGGCTCTCCTCCCCAGCAGGCAGCTGAATGCGTCCTATGGGGAGACCTCTGGCTCACCACATGTCAGGATGAATTTGAGGATATGCTCTCCCAAAGAGCATCCTGGAAAGATGGTCTCTCCCTGGTTTAAATCCCTTAGTCCTATGGGTCTCACCTTTAACAGGTCCTCTCCTCTGCATACTCTCAGACCACTTCTCTGGGGCTCTAGGGGAAAAAAGTCAAGGAACAGAACAGGTAGTGATTGCTTTTTCACTTTCTTCCCCCAAATATTTAAGAGGTCTTTGTCACCACGGATAGCTATGAATCTTTACCCCTTATTATAGAAAACACCCCTTCTGGAGGAAAAGCCACGTACCCAGCCGGCTGACCACAGAGGCAAGTCCTAACCCAGCCTTCTTCAGAAATCCCTTCCTCCTTTTCTTTCCCATCTGCTCTGCCAGGGGTAACTGGGAAGCCCCTGGCAGGTCCTAATATATGTCTTACAATGTTCTGGCTCCCTCCCCAGCAATCATTTATTAGAAAGGGGTTTTATGATACAAATTTGATAATCTCCCATGCACACTGGCACTGTTCTAATTGAAGTTGTAAGCCCATAAAATTCAAGCCCTTTGTCTTCCTGAAGGCCACAAGGTTTAAAAAGATACTATTGTCCTGCCTAACACCCACTACATTGTCACCAGGGACTGATTAAACAGAGTCCTGAATGGAAACAGTGCGGATTTTGTCTAGGTCCTTTTCAGGCCTGACAATGTCCTTTTCAGTTTCCAAGACAAAAGGAGGTTTAAGATTGAGATTCTTCTAAGATAACCGCATCCATATGGAAGGCAAGGTGGCCAGCAGCTGAGACCCCGTTCCCTTCCCCCTCGGCCCTCCCCGCCTCCAAATCCCAGGTGATAACACCGCGAGGCCGCCCTGCATCCTTCCCTTCCTCTCCCTGGACAAGAGAGCTAGCGCCCTCACAGGCCCAAGGCCTACTCCTTAGGGAGCGCGTCAGGGGACCCGCTCCCTTCCCCGACCTGATGCCCAAATGTGCTCTGCTCAGGCGAACCTTTCTGCAGTGGGCACTGGGTAGAGAGGTCCTCAGTACTCTGAGAAAGTGACCGCGTAGGAAACCCCGCAGCTCCGTAGCTACAAACCCAAAAAGAAGATCCCCAACCTACTGTGCACTGGCGAGGGGGGAAAGACGCCAATCAGCGGATCCTGTCCCTACACTGAGACCCCCTTCCGCCGCAGCTCTCCCTCACCTGGGTGCAGAGCCTTCCCTGGGCTGCCCACAAGGCAGGAGTGCCCTGGTGGGAGCCGTTTCGCCAGCCTTTGATTTCTTTACTACCCTGCCCCTCCGAGCTGGACAGGTACTGTGCCAGGAGGAGACAGAAAACCACAGATAAATGAGTCACTCTCTGGCCTAACTAGGGGTTACAATTTCCCCTGTGACCTTTATGTCCCTAAGCAGTTGGCTTCTGCACTCTGAAAACAGCTTGCCGCCAGGCCTGGGCTGCTCCAAGGCAGTGCGCCTGGCCCCGCTGGCTTGTCTCTGGAGGAGTTCATTACACCCCGTCGTGGCCCACAGGCTTGACTTCTGGTGTTTGAAACGCCAGCAGCTCTGGGAGCCCAGAGGCACCTCCGAGTTGCTCTTGGAACAGAGATTTCTCCCGGTGACAAGGACCCAGGATTGCCCCAGCTTCTTCCCTGTCTTTCCTTCCTGCCCCCACCTCCCAGCCCTAGTATCTTCCTAAAGGCAGGTGGGGACTGCAGTCTGCCCTTCGGCCCAAGAGCGGTGGGTGCAAACTCATTGGGTCAAGGAGTAAGGGGGCTCTGCGAACCCCTGTTGGGGAGCTCGGCGTTCCTGGTAGGCGCGCAAGGGATCCGACCCTACACATTTTATTCTCACAATACAAAGAGGAAAAATACTCTATTTCTTTTAAAATAAGTTGCTTTCCATACAAAATCGCTATTTTAAAATATACAAATAAGGCTCAAGCAAAAAAATCTAGCTCTGGCGTTGGCGGTCGAGGGAAGGGAGGGGGGCATCTTTACGAAAGTTCCCTGCTGTCTGTGTCCGCGACGGCTGGTGAGAGAGTGGCCAGAGAAGCCCGGTGTGGTAGGGAGGTGGCCGGAGAAGTTCCAAGTTTTTGTCTCCAACCTTGCTCCAGACGTCCAGCGCGCTCCAAAGTCTGTGCGAGCTCCAGGCACCCCGCCGAGGCCTCACCAGTTCCAGGAGACTAGGGCTGGGGGCGCCAAGTGCTGGTAGGCCGGGAAGAGGCCGAGGGCCGATCCCGGCCCGAAGGCAGTGTAGCCCGGCAGAGGGCAGGCGGCGGCCAGAGAGGCTCCGCACTTGTCCTGGGCCGTGGCTGTGCCTGCCTCGCCGCTGCCGCCGCAGGGCTGCCCGTCGCGCACCAGCACCGGCACCACAACGCGTCGCAGCAGGCCGGGCGCGGCGTGCAGCTCAGCGGAGACTGCCAGGTCGGGCGACTCGGCGGCCCCGGGCATGCGCGCGCGCTTCAGCTTGTAGCGATGGTTCTGGAACCAGATCTTCACCTGCGTTGGCGTGAGGCGCAGCAGGCGAGCCAGCTGCTCGCGCTCGGGCGCTGAAAGGTACCGCTGCTGCCGGAAGCGCCGCTCCAACTCCAGCGTCTGCGCCTTGGAAAACAGCACCCGCCGTTTCTTCCTCTTCTCGGCGTCCGAGCCCGGAGACTTGGACCCAGCCGACAGCCGCTGCGCCGAATCTGGCGTGCCGGTCTCCGGGCTGCTCTCGTCCGAGGCTAGGGACAGCAAAGGAGACACGGGTTGGTGAGACCTTGGACCCACTGAGCACCTGCCGTCGCTTTGCCGGCGTGGTTCAGCTGCTGCCTGGAGGGCACCCCTACTAGCCCACGGCTTTCATGGTGAGATCATTCCCTTTCCTGAGCCCACGTCTGGACACCCACCTCTCCGAATTCAGTGACCCCATTCATACCACAACACTAATCGCCCGGCCAGAGATCGTGCCCCAAAGAAATTCACCCGGGACCCTCGTAAAATGTCAGCACTGGTGGCTGCGCTGGCCGACCAATCTACCACAAAGCTGGGTCGCCAACACCGGCCGCTTCCAAGCGGACGGCAGTACAGTCTGCCACGGTTTGCAAGCCCTGCACAGAGTGGGTGCAGGGGTGCTGTAAACTCGCCAGTAACGACTATCCCAAAGCAGGCCTGGAGAACGCGGCCGCGTTTTCAGACATCTTAAAGGAGAATGTTTTAAACATGTAAGTATTCCAATCCCTAGGAATTCCCGGACACGAAACGCAAATGCCCCGCACTAGTGCCAGGCGCAGGGATCTGCTCTCGGGATCTGCTGACTGGGAAGAATAGGTAGGGATATGAGGGCAGAGCCTCTGGTTCCAAAACTAAAGAAATCCAGACCTTGGGCCCCACAGAGACCAGCCCTTGATTCGGCACTCCTCTCCACCCAACCCCCCACCTCAGTCCTCTGCTAGCTCACAGGGGTAGTGGCCGCGATCCGACTCCAACCAGGTGGCATAGGGGTCCGGCTGGGGGGCGCGTGGCTCTGGCTCCCTCCTCGGCAGGTGCTGCGCGTCCGGCTCCGGTAAATCCAGGAGGCTGCGCACGGTGAAGCTGAGGCGTCCAGAGGTAGCCATGGCCGGCTAGGGGAAAGAGAGGGGGCAGGGCGGCCTAGGAACCTCGGGGCGGCCGGGGACACCGCTCTTACCGGTGGGCGTGGGAGGCGCTCTCCATGCGCAGGCCGCCGGGGTCTTAGCGCATTTACAGTGGAATCCCTGTTTATATAAACAGCTCTTCCCACCCCAGCGCCTTGAAAGCTGAGGTCGGGGTCTCCAGAGTGTTAAGTACCTGAATGAGCTCCGACCAAAGAACGGGCTAGCCCGGAAGGTGCCACCTCCGCCCCCGCCCCGCCCCGTACCCCGCCCCTTGAAGCCCGGTTACCTCCCTGAGGAGGCAGGAAGCAGGCTTGGGCATTAGCGATTCTGTCTGATTAGGCCAAAGTGGGGACAGATAATGGGGATTGTTACTAGTGAATAACATCTTGGGTGGCGAGCGGTGGCCACCACCCGCCCGACCCGGCCCCATGGGAGAGCAGGAAAGAGTGGGGGGCGGCCTGGGTGGGTTTATGAGTACCCAGGAATTTATTCCCTATTTGCTTTATTCCTCGAGCTTGTTTACTGGAGTGTTAGTTTCCCGCAATTATCTGGAAAGTGATTTACAAAGGGGCGTTAAACTCTGGCGTGCTCCCGCTCTCTTTTTGGTTGGGCCTCTCCCAGGATTCTGGGCGAGAAGTTCCAGGAGGGCTCAGAGAGGAGTTTGGTCCCGCAAGCATTTGGGCCAAGAGTTTGGAAGGTCGCTGGGATTCTCTCCACATTCCAAACATCATCCGACCGCTTCAGGGGTGCTGGGGAAAGGCTGGGAGCATACGAGGCGCCCCCAGCCCCGTGTCTCCCCAGGCCCGGAAAAAAGGGGAGGGCCTGAAGTGCCGGCCGGGTTGGTCCATCCTCTCTGGACAGCTGCACGTCGTGAGGCCAGGGCTCTGTGGCCAAACTCCGAAAAGCTGGGCTTAGGTCCGTTCTAAAGCTTAGGGGCAGCGGCGTTTCACAGGGCTGCCTGCCAGGGCTCGGAAGCCTCCTTGGAGTCTGCAAACTTTCTGGTGCCGTCTGTGGCCCTCAGTCCCACAGCGTCAATGTCTGTCCTAGTGCCTGGGCTGCAGCCTATGCCCAGGAGCTGACCTGTGGCCTGCGCTCCCAGTTCCCAGGGCGGCAGACCTTGGCGTTGCTTCCCGACCTGGTCAGTGAATGGACCAATCGGTAGAATTAGGGATAGGCACACCCAGCAGAAAATGTCGCAGGCCAGGGGGGGTTTCCAGCAGCTTCTGGTCTCCACAGCTCCGCCAGAGAAAGTGATCCAAGTACGTGGTACAGGGAACAGGCCGCCGTCGACACACTCTGTTGGCCTACAGCCTTGCCCTGGGCAAGCTTCAGTCTAGGATTCAGCGAGTGCCCTCTCAGAGGCTTCTACTACTTCAGCTAGTGATCTGGGTGTTTGGATGCTAAATTTTAGTTAAGGGGTGTTGCACTTGGGTGGCTGCACCCGAAAACGAAGTCTTAGCTCCTCCAGGGCTGAACTCGAACCCGGCTCGGAAGCAGTGGCCGCGGCCCCTCCAGCCCCGCTCCCTCCCCAGCAGCCTCTCAGTCTTGAGCGTCCGAGGTACAGGCTGCGCTGCGCGCTGGGTGGTCGGGCGGAGGCACCCCCAATACAGGCCAACTGCTAGGCTGTGGACAAAGGCGAAATGGAGCTCGACGCCCCGGACCTGTTGGAAGCATTTGTTCCAGTCAAGATTTTGCATTTGTTCAGTCCGAAATAATGCGTGATTGACGCCTGCTCACAAAGCGCTTTAACGCGCAGGGATAAATCGGAGCTTGTCCGGTGTTGTCATGGTTTTCAATGGGGTTCAATGGGATTGGGAACATGATCGACTCTGCTGGCCGTCTTTCCGCAGCCCCGGCAATAGATTTATTAGTTATATCTTTTTAAATAAGATTGCATTGAAATGACTTGGCCATCCTCTCTCCAGAACTCGCCAAGGCAGGAGCTGGGGGTGGGCAGGGGGCTGCAGGGTCCGTAAAACTGACACGCACCTGGAGAGTGGGCAGCTCATTCGCTGCCTCAGGGTGGCCTGGACTTCTCTCTGGCTAGCGCACGGTGCCTGACCACCTTTGGCAGCCCATCTGAGCGAAAAGCGGAGGGTGGGCACTGGAGAAGGACGTCCTAGTCCTGGGGAAGGGGTGACAGGCTCCCAAATTCGGGCCTGCTCCTTGGGAGGCTGGGCCAGGTAGAAGGAGCTCTACCTGACTTCTGGTCGTATTCTAGTTCTGTCCCTAGTTTATCACCTGATCCCCTCCCTACTCTGAGCTGCCTCCTATTTTTTATTTTATAATGTCAAACAGAAGAGAATAGATTTGGCCATTTCTACCCACCCTACCGGTTCTTTGGTTCCACAACTCTGGCGCTTCTCTAAACCTCTCTTCATTGTAACATTCACTGGAGACTTTGGGACTGCGGATTCCATGCAGCTCTTGAATTCTCATCCTCAGGACTCCTCTCTCTGGGATGTTCTAAGGCAGGATGTGTCGTGTTTTGAGTTTCCCAAGGATTCTCCTCCAAAGGAGTGGGGTAGGGCAGAAAACAATTTTGGAAAGAGAACCCAGTCAGAAGAAGCAAAAGAACAGTTTTTTTCTTGAGTGACTGACCTCTCTTAGCCTTTTAATCTATTTAACATCCTAAGCCCACACTGATGTGTAGAAATAAGTAAATGGTGCTCTTCAGTTCTTAAGGGCTCTTCAGTATCAAATATTTGCTTTAACTCTTAGTGTTTGGCTCCCAACACAGAGATACATCCCCCATCTAGCACTTGTGCTCTGGGGAGGCCTTCTCTCTGGGATTAGCTCTAAATATTACTTCTAGCTTCACTTTCTCTGGCCTAAGAACAGTGTTCCTTGATCCCATCTCTTTTAGACATCCCCAGGGCAACGCTATGCCTCCCTAGAAGGTGCTGCAATTTCCCTGCTTCCTCTTGGACTCCTCCTCCTCTCCATAAGCCCTCTGCCCTAGTCCTCCTTCCTCTCACTCTGCTCTGGGGATGTATCTAAATTATCTCTGAGAGCTGGAACCTGAGCACTTCAGAAGGTTGTTCCATTTAAGCAGTGTCTTCTGGCAAAATACAGGAAAGGAGGTGGAGAGTCAGAATTATTAGAGGAAGTAGCTTTCTCCATTACGTCTTCACATCGGATAAACTCAAAGACATGAGAGGAGAAAATTATTTTGACAATGGGTCACTAGAAAAAGACATTCAAGCTACTCCTAAGTTTTTTTACACATAGGAGATGTAGTATATGAATTGCTTCCAGTTCATAAGAGATTCTTAACATGACAATTAAACGTCTCACTGAACATTCATTCCAGATTTTCAAATATTTTGGTGTTCTGAACACTTGAACTTACCATGCAACTCAACATAGCGTATGAAAATTACTATTTGTTTCTTTGTAACGAGGTGTAGGATATCTTGAGTCCAGTGAGAGTTTTCCATCCTTAAGCATCTGTTCCATAGTGAATAAATTTAAACTTTGTGCACTGATCATCCTTTCAAAAGTATTACCCAGATTATTGTCACTGCTGCACGCCTAAGATTTCAGACTAGAAAACTCTGAAAACTAACGCAACTTGATTTTTTTAAAAAAGTGATTGCGTTTATATCTTGCATTCTCTTTTCAAATCCTTCCATTTTGATTAAGTGTTGCACAAAGTCCTGCAAATCTATATAGTATTGAAGAGAGGCTACATTGCAAGTTCCCCTTGATAGATGGAGGGCTCTCAACTGGCAGGACATTTTTCTTTGCCTCATAGCAACTGCTCTCCCCTCTTTATCAGTATTCTGGTTAAAATAGCCAAGGAAAATAAAAATTGGTTTTTAACACTTTCAAGAAGTGGATGATCTCTGATTGGTCATAGAATGTGAAGAAAAGGCAGCATTTAAAATCAAATCTCTTTGCCTTTGGAAAACTAGTTGCCATGAATAAGTAAACATTCCCCTTTTAATGGCTAATAATCAATTGCTTGATGGTGGTCCAGACTTAGCTGCAATTCTTTCTTAGTTGTATTGATGATACTACATGTGTACCCACAAGACAAGGAGCAGCAATTACTTTCAGGCTGGGGATTTAGTCCATCTTTGAACTGGGCTTTAGATTTTATTGTTTAATGCCAAATGACAAGGTTTGAACCACCCTATCTTTGGCCTTTTAAAATACTGACTTCACATCGACTTGTTCTTATCTCTAGGGGAAAGTTTTACTTTTCTAGTTGTTTAAACACATACATGAAAAAATATATAGTGGGGAAAATGGTTCATCGAATTTAAAAATAAAGGAATACATAATCTCCTAAAGAGATGGCAAATAATTTTGAAATTTTTAACTAGTTTATTAGTTCCTTAAATATTTCTGGTCTTTCCTATGCCTTACAATAGTATAATAAGGGTAGCTGTGTTGACATGTTATGTAAGAATAAAAATAATAGCACAACAGGGTGGAGGGTGCTAAATCTTATTTGTCCACAACTGAACATCATATTTTTGTCTAATTTTTTAAAGCATCAGTTTATACTCCTTTGCACATAATTTCTACACAAAAACTCTAACACAGAATTCTTATTGAGTTTACATAATAAAGGTCCAGGCCCTAGTCTCACTTAGTGTCACATATAAACAGTGACAGGGTAGACTGACCCCAGGAACACATTCGATGACACCAGCCCCAGTACCCCACTTAGGCCTGCTCACAATGCACGGTTATTTTTTCTTTATTGCCTAAGCTGTATAATAGGGTCTTTTTTTCATACACGTACCTTAACTTGGTTCTGAGATCAACTTTGGAATTTTAACAAGGTTACATTATTAAAGCAAGATATTATTTCCATCTTATTTGATAGATGAACGCTAATCTGAACATTGTGGAGAAGCATTTGCTTCTATTTGGTGAAAACAGGGATCAGAGTCTCTCAGAGGGCAATTCCTCCAGAAGGAAGAGATGATAATAATAATAAACTCATCACCTTGTGTGTTACACTTCGGAGAATGCTTACAGTGTACACTCCCACTTGTTATGTCATCCCGAGTCAGGATAGATTATCTAGAAGAGGTAAAGTTTAAATAAAGACAGACTTAAAGGCAGACAGGCTGTGAGGTCCCCGGAATTAAAGAAAGTATTGGGGAGGATGAAGAGGAGAATCTATTGTAATAGAAGGTGTTAGAAAAAATGATTAAAAAGTGAGAGAAAAAGAAGGCGTGTGCTA